AAAAATAGAAATATTGAGGTAAGGGGTGACACCTGAGCAAAGACATAAAGGGAGGCAGAGGTACAGCATGTGGATGTTTGATGGGGTAGCGTTGCAGGAGGAAGGGCAAAGACAAGGAGCACAGGTCTTGATAAGGAAATATGGGTGGAGAGTTTAAGGAACAGTGTCTCACCCTTCCCTGCAGCCCCTTCTCTCTCCAGCACACCGCTGTGTGAGAATCTTGCTAAAGTCTTCAGCACTGTCAAATGGGTAGTGGATGATTTCCTCATCTGTTGGTTTTGGGGTGTAATTGGTACCCAGGATTGGCATCCTCTTTCCTAGTTCCCTTTAGGTTCCAGTTTAAACCAGTAATGTCACCATCCCTAACACTTCCCAACTGCCCTGTTCTGGGGTGAAGTGCTTTTCCATTTCCAAATCTTACACTCTAGGAGCCCAGTAAGATGTTACATTCTGGCTGACAGGGAAAGATAGAGATGATTTTCACAGTTAAGAAAGCTGTTTCTCATTTTCCACAGATAAAAAAATGGGAACAATAAACCACGTCTCATATACTTTGTGATATTTACATTAGGTAATGAATCTGTAATGCATGCTACAGCGTCTGACATACAGTAAGTTCGATAAATATCAGCTTTGGTTTTTCCTGGTAAAACCTGCCTTTCCTTCAATGTCCAGTTCTGTGACCTGTTACTGTGTGCTCTTTTCTCCATTTTAGTTCAGTGATGGAAGCTTCTAGGAAATTTACTTAATCACTTATTTTCCTGGGGACACACATTATTTTTCCCTCTCCTCTTGGGATCATATTCTTCTAGCTACATGAATGCACTCAAGGTGCTGAAAGGACACAGATGAAATGCTCATTGAGATTTTATTTTCATTTTCCTAAGGAATAAAAATATTAAGGGTTTTTTTGTATATTTGCTGGCTATTGAATATCATATTTATGCATTGGCTTTCAAGGTTTTACCATTTTCATTAACTGTTTACTTTTCTTATTGATTTATAAGAGTTCTTAATGCATTCTGCATTTGAGTTCTTTTTCCAAAATATGTATTGCAAATATAGTTTACCAGTCTATGCATTGTCTTTCCAATCTCTTAGCAGAGATTCTTAACAGACAATTTAAAAGTGTACTTTTATAAGAAGTTAGCTTGAAACTTATTTGTTTTCTTTAAATGCTTTAAAAATGATTTCCCTTGGTGATGTCTGTTGTTCTGATGTGAAGTCAGTGTCATTCTTACTGATGTTTCCCAGAATACAATGTATCAATTTTCCCTGAGTACTGGCAAGATTATTTTCAGTTATATAGACCCATGTATTTGCCTTCAATACCTTGCAAACTCTGCCAAAACCACAGTGGTGGACTTGCAGAATTCTTGATTCATCTTCTTGGCCTTCCACATGACATTGCTCCTGAACATGCAGCTTGTTTTATAGAAAGTCAAGTAAAGCAGTAGGGGGAGGTGCTTGCTGTGAGCAAGCAGATTGCAGCATGGGTAATGGAAGAGGTAGTTATAAATACCAGCTGCAATCACGTGGCCATTTCCAGAAACAAGAATGATGATAGTTGTGAAAATTTCTTTTTCATTTCGCTATGAATATATTTATGAACACATTAACCATTTTTATCTCCCATGTCCTTCTTGTATAAATATTTATCATATTAAGATGTGCTAATATATATAAGATAGCACATAACATGTGCTAATATATGCCAATCTTATATCTCATTATATCTTAGGAGTTAAGGAACAGGATTCAATGGGAGAATGTGACCCAGCTAGAAGAGAAAAGAACATCACCCCAAAATAGACAAATGAACTCGGCTTGCTCCTTGCAAGAGAGAATTAGCATGTTTTAGGTTGAATGATGAATAATTGCATCATATTAGCTGGCAGCAAGTTTTTTTATGCTCTTTATTTAAGAGTAATTGGGTTAAAAGTGGTACAGAATGATGCCTGGTTGACAAGGAGGGTAATGGAGTAACTTTGTACTGTCCCTAAGTAACTATCTGTAAATGTATCTCCCAGAATTTGCTTCCCTGTATTGTCCTGGGTTAGAGTGGGACATGAAAGAGACTTATGCAAGATTTAGAAGGTACTTGTCATGAAGTAGCCGTATTTTTCATGCCTTGCTGGTTGATGCAGGACTCCAGGCACTGCGGCAACTCACACATGTTGCTGCTGGTGGGTTAGCCC